GTGGCGAGCATAGTGCGCATGTGCTAGAAGATCATTTCTAGTACATGTTTGGGATTTCCTCACTTGTGTGTGAACTTTAAATGCGGTTTCAGGGGGAGCTTCCCTTAATTGCGCAATTAAGGTAATTACATGTGAAAACCATTTGCGGAATCAAGGTTTATTTTCAGAATTTGTCATTTCCAGTTTATTATAGCTTTGTGGCCCACATGTGATAATGTCCATAGTTGTCATTGTATTTTCCTGTCAGGGAGATGGAGACAGAAATGTTTATGGTAGTTTCCAGCTCAGGTGTGAAAAGTGACTCGGTTGCCCTTGGGTACTGTGGCCTAAATCCAGCTGCTGGTGTTAGGTCAGACCCACTGACCTAAGGGAAATTTGAAAAGGAAATATTAAGTGGAAGTTCCTTTGATTCAGTAGGTCTACCCTGGTTGTTGTTGGTGGTGGTGGTGCTGTTGTTGTTGTTGTTGTTGTGTGCCTTTAAATCATTTCCCATTTATGGCAACCCTAAGGTGAACTCTGAGGCTAGGAGACTGTGACTTGCCCACAGTCACCCCATGAGTTTACATGGCCAAGCAGGGATTTGAACCCTGATCTCCAGAGTCAAAGTCCAATACTCAAACCACTACACCACACTGGCTCTAGCTGAGACTAGCATTTGGATTTAAGCTTGTATGATATGACTCTGTGGCAAGGGGAATTGTTTGCTGTTCTATTTCAGACAGCAAAATGGCTTAGGTCAGCTCTGCTCTTTGTTCTTTGACACTACACAACCATAGCACTCTGATACCACTTTGTCATGGGTGTAGCCTATGGAGTCCTGGGATTTGCAGTTTTGTGAGGGACTTAGAATGGTCAGCCAGAAAGTACCTCAACAAACTACTAATCCCAGGATTCTGTAGGAGGCAGGCATGCCAGAGAAAATGGTGTCAAAGTGCTGTAATTATATAGTATGAAAGTGGCTTTAGTCTTCAAACTTCAAGAAGTTGCTTCCTTCCCCTCCACCAAAGATTTCTCAATTTTTTATTTTTAAAAAAGCATAACAACAACAATAATAATTTCTTCTTTTCTGCAAAGAACTTGTTGGCCATAGCTTCAAGCTCTTCTCCTGCTGCATGACTAATCTCCTGCTTGTAAAAATCTCCAATTGTTTCTTGTCCCAGAGGTTTTTTTTAAACCAACTGGCTCAGTCAAGTCACATCAAAATGTAATGCTAGACCTTTTACATATATATCATGTTACAGTATTTATTTCTGTTTGATGGGATTTGATCTACTTTGAGGTTATGCATCACCTGTCACAGGGGGTTCTTCTCCCTGGGTATAAAGGAAGAGAAGCCTTTGTTCTCTTCTTGGCTAATTGCTTTGTCTTTCTTTGGGGGAAGTTCCTTTGACCGTCTTTAATTTAATTTGGACCACATAGCCAGACTGGATTCCAAGCAGTGGCTTAATTTTCTTCCAAGAAAGATTATTCTGTCTATTAGAAGTGCATATATTTTATTAGTTCAAATTTCCCCAGACAATATGGACATTAATTACCATAATTTCTAGTCAGGCTGGGAGAGTACAATGGAGAAGATGCTCTGTGAGTTTATTATTTGGTAACAGCTGGTGACCCCATTCAAGAGGTTTTTTGTGGACTCACTGCTGGATTCATGGATATAGAAATGTGTTGCCCTAATTTGCTTGTATTATTTGATGCCTGCTGTTTTTGCAGGTCTGTTATCATGAGACATCTTCCTTAAAAGTTCAAAACTGCCAGGTTGATCCAATTTATTCTGCTGATTGAAGCACAGGACACAATAGCATTCCTCCCTTCAGACACCAACCAAATTGACATTTAGTTCTTATTTTGACACTGAAAGCATGAGAATGTTCTCCACCATCCTGATGGCAGCAGGTTAACTTTGGGCATATGGAGTAGGCTGACAGACACAAAGGGAAATGACCATGTAGGCTGCCACTGCTTTCCTCTTTGATACCACTTCAAATCTGTGCCTAAAGGTGAACATTGCATTCTGCCCAGTGGTAGGATGGCCCTGGAAATTGTCTTATGTTGTATCAAGCAATATATTGTGCTCTGATAAATGAAATTCTCCAGAATCTTAGGGCTAAATTCAGGTGTAAATTCCAACATAAATCAACAGGACTTTGGTAAGTAACACTGGTGTGAGTTTCACTGAGTCAATGGGTCTTATTGTTGTCATGTGCCTTCAAGTTATCTCTAACCTATGGTGGTCCTCTCATAGGGTTTTCTTGGCAAGGTTTATTCAGAAGAGGTTTGCCGTCGCCTTCCTCTAAGGCTGAGACAGTGTGACTTGCTCAAGTCACTGAGTGTGTTTCCATGGCTGAGTGGGGATAACTGAAATCATAACTGAAGAATAAATGTTGAGTCTCATAAATCTGTTATATACCTATGAGAGGTTTGGTGTAGTATGGGAGGAGGTCAGTAAGAAAGGGGTGACACCATGAGTTACCACTAACCTTCTCCCGTACCACACCATACAGAACCATTAGTAATGTTTTTGTACTAATGTTACTCATAGAGTGTGATTCCCATATATTACTGAATGTAAAGGCAATAGTCGTGACATTAACTGTAACACAAAATATATACCTACATTTATTATTGGTACGCCACTATCAGATAAACTTTTTTTCAGGGAAGATATAACTCTGCTAATGTATTGCTGTGCATGAATAGAATTCTTGTGAATTAAAGAACTAAAAAATAATAAGAGATTGTTTCTTTTGTTGTTGGGTTTGTGTCAGTGAAAGGATCCATTTTGCACACCCTGCCTTGGAATTCTACACATATGCAAGAATTGTGTTGTGTAGAGAAATAATATGCACACAAAAGAATACATACATTTTAAACACACAAATGGTTAAAATGGGCATGTGAAAAACATAACAAAACATACTTTAGTTAGTAAGAAAACTGTAGAAATAGTTGGTACTTGTATCATGCATAACTGAAATAAAGTACAGTGCTCCTGTATGCTCAATAGTACAGGTGGCAAACTAAGAGCCATTCCTGAGTCAGAGACCCATGGCTGCTCCATTTTCAGATAAGGGAGAAAGAAGACTAATTTCTTCAAGCAGGAGGGAAATAACTTCAAGAGGTAAGATGAAAGCACATAGCATGAATAGACCAAAGAAAATGGGGTGGGGGAATGCGGACATTATCTAGGTCCTCATTGTTGCCTCTCCCACTAATAACTTTATATAGGCATTGAAGCCTTTTTGCTTCCAAGAAAAACTTCATACAAAAATTCAGAGACATATAGCATTGCTAGTCTGGAATATCAGTAAGCAAAGAGGTATGGTGGCACCTTTGAGACAAAAAATGTTTGTTTAATTAATTAATTTTGTATCTTCTTTTTCTCTGTTATGGGAGAATATTTTAAATATGTTTAAATATTTTAAAAATTATTTAAAATATACTGTAATTCCTGGGGGGGGGGGGAGAGAAGAGAAAGCATTGCAGCTTGCTGTGAAACAAAGAGGGGATGAACATCAAGGTGACTATGAGAAATACAACAAAATCAAGATTTACAATATGCAATAGACCCAGGGTGGTCATATTCTATAAGGGGTAATTTACTACCTCCAAGACCTGTACTTCCACAGTACTGCACTTCCACAAATGAAACTGGAGGTGTCTAGAAGTCCACTTCTGATTCTGTAAATAGCTTGGGGGGAGAAGACAAGGGGATTCCTCATTCTTTTAAAGCAGGGACAGGCAACCTTTTTGAGACCTGGGCCGGTCTCCCATA